CCTACCTACCTACCTACCTACCTACCTACCTACCTACCTACCTACCTACCTACCTACCTACATACATACCTACCTACCGACCTACCTACCAACCTACCTACCCACATACTTACCTACCTACCTACCTATCTACCTACCTACCTACCTATAACCTACCTACCTATAACCTACCTACCTACCTATCTACCTATCTATACCTATCTACTTAACTACCTACCTACCTACCTACCTACATCCCAACATATGCCTAGCTGCCTATCTACCTATACTTCTAAATACAACCACCTATAGTTTCTATATCTATACCTACCTACACACTTACCTATACTTATTCATGCATCCGCCTATAGTTTCTATACTTACCTACAAACCTACCTTTACTTATCTATACATCTTACTAGTTTCTATACCTACTTACCTACCTACTATACTTATTCATACATCTAACTAGTTTCTATACCTACTTACACCTACCTACTATACTTATCTATTCTTATTTGGAGTCAATTTTAGGCTATCCAGATCCTTGCGTTAAAACCTTACATACTTAACTTTATCATTCAAAATACAAATGCACACAGCTAAAGAGCAAATTGCAATTTTCGAGAAAAATTATGATTTTTTTGTATTATGTCTGATTCAAGTCACTTTATATACCCAACTCCAGTCCCCCCCCCCCTTATGATATATTTTGATGAAGGTAATGGTTAAAATATTTTACAGTTTTGCAAAGAAAAGTTTTTTCGTCAAATATATGTTCAAAATCAAATTTTTAACTTGTTATATTTAACAAAACATTTTCCAATTATTCTTTAGCTCTTAGAATTTGCCACGCCAGATTCAATTAGTTAAGGCGGATAATAAGCAGAGAGGGTCAGAAAAAATGAAGGTTGGATGAAGGGTGAAGAGGGGGGGGGTCAGAAAANTAAAACGGGAAGGTGGATGCAAGGAGAAGGATAAAACGGGAAGGTGGATGCAAGGAGAAGGATAAAACGGGAAGGTAGATGCAAGGATAATAAAAGACACTTGAATAAAGGAGAAAGATATGAAGGATAAAGAACTGTGTAAAAGAGAAAGACTGGAAGGATAAAAGAGAATATTTACCTTTAGCTCTGTACAACCCTTGATCAAGTTCTCCGAGATACCCCGGATACCATTATAGCTGAGATCTAGAACCCGGAGAAACTTGAGGTTTTGAAACTCCCCAGTGCTAAAGACAGGGCTGAGGTTATCCCCCAGCTTGTTGTTGCTTAGGTAGATCTCCTCGAGAGTGTCCTCCATTCCGTCGAACAAGCGCTCTACCAGCCTCCTCATGGCGTTGTTGCTGAAGTCGATGAGTTTAAGCGGTATATCACTAGCAGTGAATATCTGGGCAGGGAGGAGTTGCCAACCAACATTACGCTGAGTAAACTCTTGGATATAATACCTTAAATAAGATAGTACTATTAAATTAGTATTATTACTATCATTCAAAACCACATAAAAAAGCATGGTTAGATTTAATGATAAAGAAGGAGAATTCTAAGAATGATGTGAATGTAGGAAGTATAAAGGTACAAAAGGAGAATTCTAAGAATGGTGTAAATGTAGGAAGTATAAAGGTACAGTCCAGATTCTTCAAGGATAAATTCATTAGAAATGTCTTCACTAGAAGTTTTCAGAAGCTAATTGAATTAAATGCTACGCTAACCTTGTCATCAATCAGTTTTAAATCTAATGACAGCTGCTGAAAAATCTGGGAGACTTTAACGGCATTTTCTTTGTGTATTTATTCCGTTTAACAGTGTGTCGTTAAATAATAAATAATTTTGAAATACTTGTTCATAACAGATCCTAAAGGAAACTATAAACATTACTTTTCAACACCTTACTTTCTTTCAAGGGAGTTTGTAAACATCAATTTAAACTGAATTCTACATTACATAAATACGTGTTGATTACTAGACCTGTAAATGAAAGTTGATTACATTCTTCACTCTGCCCCCCTTACCCCCCCCCCCCAGGCTACTCAAGCAATATTGTAAATCGACCCAAACTTTCCTTCGTATGGTTTCTCAAATTTTCTTTTACTTTGCATCCTTGCTTCTTACACGTTTCTTTGATTTTCATGTAAAAAAATCAAAGTTGGTATTATTATTGATTTTTGATAAAATTGGCTTAAAATCTCTCATCCCCTCAAAACTTTCACAGTGCAAAGACCCACCTACCCCCTCCCCCAACCTCATCATGTCATGCAAGTATACAAAACCTTCCTGGTCCCTTTCGTAGCTTACCATCTCCCCCAAAACCTCCCCTAGCCCCACCCCCTTCCTGCTTCCCTCCCTATTTGGAAGTATTTGCATGGTGGTTCCATAAATGGAGTGTACAGGTATATGCATGAACCTACTCGTGTAGATTTCCCTAAACCTTGTCATTTTTTCAATCTTTGTCACACTTCCAATTAGTGTTGTGTACACCGGCATTGTGCACATATAATCTTTCAAGCTAGAGTGAGATTGACATATTGCGCACAGAAAACCATTTCCGGAAGAGTTCCGCTACGTGGAGGGCTGCTGGAGAGCAACGCGGCAAGAGCGCACAAAAACTTGTGGTTTTCAATATTTTTCACGAGAAAGTTTTTATTTATTTTCATTTGGAAATATTACAGTTTTATTAACTTTTTACAAGAAGGTGTAATTTTGTGGCTTTAATTTAATTATATATTTGAAGATTTATGAAATGTGTTGATTTCAAATTGGATATTTTAATGCAATATTTCACCTGTACGGTAGAACAGGGAAATCTCCAGCGAAAACTACATTGTCACAATTTATCCTTGTCGCATTCATCTCGTTCAGAGAACACAGACAGTCGATATTTATATTATTGCTAAATTCGACACATGGAATCTCTAGACTAGTCGACCTACCCTCGGCCCACCCCCAGACCAGGCATAGGGTTAATAAAGTTCTGATAAAACCTTCCGCCATTTTAAAAATGTATTCACTTGTTTTTAGTTTCACGATTATTTACTTGAGGATTAAATCAAGTTGTTCATTTATGAATGCTCCTTAGATTGATAGATAGTGACTATCTGTGTAGGGGATGTGACTGATATCTTGACTATCTCGACTATCTTGGTGCTGAACTATCCTGAAAATAAAATAGTTTGATAAATACAAGACATTATGATACTAAATAGGGTATATTTTATACTTGAGTAGAGATTAATGAATACTGTGGGGGCCTGGGGCAACCAAGCCAAGCATACATTAAGCAAAGGTTTCTACAGTTTTACCACGTTCAATGTATTGTTTCGATAAATTGGATTTGTCCCGGACCTTTACAGTCTCCTTGACATTAGTTACAATGGTCTCCAACAATTGGACGAGCAACTTGATTTTTAATTCAGGACGAAAGTCCCCGAATGAGGATTCTAAAATCAGCAAATCAGAGAAGACCTACTCATCTTCCTCTCCATTTATATCCTCGTTATTCATTGTATTTTTATATCTAGAAGTGTCTGGTTTAATATCTGTATGTCAGGGTGTATGTTTGCAGAAGTGTCTGGTGTAAAGTCTATATTTCAGGGTGCATGTTTGTTGAGGAGTCTGTTGTAATATCTGTTTGTCAGGGTGTATGTTTACAGAAGTGTTTAGTGTAATATCTGTTGCCAGGGTGTATGTTTGCAGAAGTGTCTAGTGTAATATCTGAATGTCAGGGTGTATGTTTGCAGAAGTGTCTGGGTTAATATCTGTATGTCAGGGTTTATGTTTACAGAAGTGTCTGGGTTAATATCTGTATGTCAGGGTGTATATTTGCAGAAGTGTCTGGGTTAATATCTGTATGTCAGGGTGTATATTTAAAGAGAATCATGATCGAGGACAAACTTGAAGTATAATCATATAAATTTCCCTTCCCCTCAGCTATATAGAAATCTGAACCAGATAGATGAGATAGAATAGAATCAACATAAGACGTAATCGAATAGGAGAGGATTCACACTGCACAGTGATCTGAAGGTTGTAAACTATATCTCGAAAATGGTTCAGGATTTTCCAATTACTTCGTTTACCCTAAAGCTAACAGTTAAAGTCGACCGGCAGTCTTGAAAATTGATGCAATTTTTCATAGAAGTCAGGATCTTTGTGGATGGTCTGCTTGTGATAGGAGAAGACTTGTTTAAAGATTCTTATAAGATTATGTGTAGAGATTACTCGCCACAAACTCTATTTTTTATCCTAAATTCTTTGCAATCTTGCATGAGTTTAAAAAGCATATTTGACCAAGCAGAATCTCCTGTTTGAAAAATCAAAAGTCTACGACTTCAGGTTTCAAAGATATGAGAATAAGATAGTTAGGGGGACTGATCAGTCCCTTAGCAAGAGTTTGAGGCAAGTGTACAGTCCCTTTTCAATGGTGGAAAAGAGACGAATGTTAATATATAAATGTTATTAATATATAAATGAAAGTGTTAAATGTAGATGAAGTAAAATATGGCAGGGGAGGAGAACATCGTGATCAGAATTCAGCCTTTTTAAGCTACATAGAGTCTACATAGATTTCAATCTACATGGACTTCAAGCTTCATAGATTCCAACCTACATAGATTTCAAGCTACATAGACTTCAAGCTACATACATTCTAAGCTACATAAATTTCAAGCTACATAGATATTTCAAGCTACATAGATTTAAGCTACATAGAGTTTTATTTCAACTGATGATTGGGTTAGACCCATGAAACATTTTGTCTTGGAAGAAATATATATTTAAACATCTAAAATGTATATTTAAACTGAAAAAGTTGAAAATACTATATAGATTTTATGCTAAATAGATGTCTAGCTGTCTAGCTACATTATGTTTCCAGCTGTATAGCTTACACTTCATAGATCCTTGACCACATAAACTTTAAGACACATATGTTTGGAAGCTGTACACGGATTAATAAAATTATTTTGTTAATTATTTAGAATATTTTATAGATGTTGTAATAAATTACCAGTCCTATAAACTATAATATTATAATATTTAAACCTATAATATTTCTAACTTTGACCAATTTTAGAGCATAATTTATATTTTAAAATAGCAATGGTTATTAGGTTACAAAGATATATGGATTATAAATTTAGAGTATGAGTTCAGTTATCAGTTTCTCTAACCAAGCACCGAAATAAATGTAAAAAAACTAGATTAACGCTCCTTGTTATTTTTGAAAGAACTAAATTTGATTAAACAGTTTAAAAGTTGTATGTTGACAAATTCTGGAAAATGCGCGGAACTAAGGTCTGTTGCCTCAGGTAGGTCTGCGCTCCTATAAGCATATAAAGTTCATTCAATGACCGCGCGGTCAAATGACGATAAAAAAGAAAGTGTGCACCCCCCCCCCTCCCTGCCAAACTATTCTTGTAGTTCTTGTTTTTATTAATCTATGCCATACCAACTGTATGCTCTTAATACCAAACTAGAACTAAACCAAAAAACGAAGCTCGGAGAAAACAAAAAGATCCGATCTGATTAGACTCCAGCTTGGACCCGGAGAAACTAGTATTATCTGAAATTATCGCATATCACTCAAATCCGGTCACTAGAAAAAGGTCAAATTACTGGCTGGACTTTATGACCTCGTAGCTCCAACGTATAAGAAAAACAATTGTATCGGGTTGCATTTTAGAAATTCAACGCTTTTTTATTTTTAATAGTTTCTTAAAAATATAAATCAAAGTTTCGATTTAGCGTAAAATTGATTTTAATTTGACGTTATCAGAGGTCGAATTTAAAGAATTTGAGCCGCAGCTCAAATATGATTGGTTCCACTTGAAATTGTATTCAATGTTTCAAGATTTAAACCGGCGCTCCATTCAAACAAGTTTTTGGCGGATTTAAGACGCGGCTAAAAACCATTAAATTCCGACTCTGGTGTTATACTTTCCCTTTGGTCTGGATAAAAAAGACATAGAAGGACACCGGCATTTTTCTGAAGATAATATAAGATGTTATCTCATATACTTTTATACCTTGAGATTAGGGGTTTACAACTAGACCTTTAAACGGTAGAGCGGGACAGTGTATGAGAAACTAAAATCTCCCGGACATCAAACCAAATTATATAATTACTCGTGACGGAAATAATTGTCTTTAATACCTGTAAGGGACGAGATCGCGGCTTGACATTTATGGGAATACAGTTTTCTCACAATCAGAGTCCAACAGCTGATACATGTTTTGACATTTAAAAGTTATAATTTACTTTTCATTGATTGATTTTATTTAAACTTATAATAAAGTTTACACATCTATATAACACACTCAAATATAGACACAATGCAATTTTGTAAAATTACTTGTATGAGTTTGTGACCTTGTACTTTGATTTGAGGTTCCAAACGAAGTTGAGTCTTCGCCACAAATTTTGACTTTTCAATCCCTTTATCTTTGCAACCTGATGGTGTAAACCTTTGATATTTCAAAGGTGATTTGTTTGATCCAACAGACCTCAGACTTTGAAATACCTAAGATCTATGACTTTGAGATGTTAAGGCTTAGTTCTTTTGGGAAAATCTTTCGCCAGCAAATTAGAATTTTTAAAACTAAAATGATGTTGTATGCAACTTGTAATGCACGTATATACCTAAAGCCCCCTAAGTCAGGAGAGATTGGTACAGGTAGTGTGGGGGGGTAGATTGGCACAGGCAGTTAAGGGGGGGGGGGTTAGATTGTTATATTATGTAAATTGCAGAAATGAAGAGAAAATCTACTAAACTGAATTTGAAATTAATTCACAGAATTTACATCATCAAAGATGAATAACTAATATTAGAGAAAGTATTAAATGCATAAAATCAAAATCATCAAACCCCTTTTCATGGAGATATCATCTTTTATGAATAAAATGATTTTTTAAAATTTACTTCATTATTTGATTGTAAACTGTACAGTAAGACCCATAAAACTATGGGTATTGGAACTTGGTAAGTATAGTCATACAATTCTAGTGATCTAGATAACCCAGTACAGGACACAGAGTATAGGGCACTGGTCCTAGAACTGTTTTGGGATAAGGTCTGGTGTAGGCAAGTATAAGCATAATTGTGATTGGCATTTCTCTGGCGGACTGGGAATTGTTAATATTCCCCGTATTTAAAGCTTCACATTTTTGAAAGAAATTTAAGTGTTTTTCTTAATAAACTTTGAACGTTTTTCAGTCATTTTCTGTTTTCATTCTGTTTTAAAATGACACTTGAATGTAAACTCCAGTTCATTTGAAGTAAAGAACCGAACCTGGCAGCTACCGAGAGTTGTACCTTTCCAAAAAAAAAACTTGCATTTTTTATTTAAGTAATCCATTCTTTAGATGTATTTATTATATCTATCTACCTCTTCATTCAAGTATACATCAATCTATCTAAATCTATCTTTAAGTTTATCTATCTGTATCTGTATCTATCTACCTCTTCATTCAAGTATACATCTATCTATCTAAATCTATCTTTAAGTTTATCTATCTGTATCTGTATCTATCTACCTCTTCATTCAAGTATACATCTATCTATCTAAATCTATCTTTAAGTTTATCTATCTGTATCTGTATCTATCTACCTCTTCATTCAAGTATACATCTATCTATCTAAATCTATCTTTAAGTTTATCTATCTGTATCTGTATCTATCTACCTCTTCATTCAAGTATACATCTATCTATCTAAATCTATCTTTAAGTTTATCTATCTGTATCTGTATCTATCTACCTCTTCATTCAAGTATACATCTATCTATCTAAATCTATCTTTAAGTTTATCTATCTGTATCTGTATCTATCTACCTCTTCATTCAAGTATACATCTATCTATCTAAATCTATCTTTAAGTTTATCTATCTGTATCTGTATCTATCTACCTCTTCATTCAAGTATACATCTATCTATCTAAATCTATCTTTAAGTTTATCTATCTGTATCTGTATCTATCTACCTCTTCATTCAAGTATACATCTATCTATCNAAACAAAATTATCATCTTAATACTGTATTTAAAAAATGCTGTAACTCTGTTTTTCAGGAAAGGATGTACGGTAATTAACTTGATTATTTTTAAATGTGCAACATTGTGACCCGCAACTAATTTTTAAGTGATGAATCGAATCATTTCAGAGCTTTCTCTATAAAAATTAACTTTCTACGATCTTGACTCATGTCAAACTAAATTAAATTAAAATCTTTCATGTCTTCAACCACAGAAATAAAGTTTAGAATTTCTAAGATATAACTGGATATATTTTCCTTTCTCATATTTAAAAGTAAATCCGAAACCAGAATAGCTATTAGGTTAAATGTCGGTCATGTCACGTCGCATTTCACCTTCTCCTTTTGACCAGTTTGCAGTGGACTATGTCATGTCAATGTCATGTCTGTATTATATAATGTACAATGAATTCTAGCCTCAGAAAATACATAACTTGTATCTATTTAAAAAGTTGTAATCTCTGTTTGTCTGTTTGTTTTTTCCGATCAGAACTCAGAGACCCCTGGACCGATTTGCCTCAAATTTTGATTGGGGAACTCGGGACGCCCACGAGTATATACTTCTAATTCTAAATTAGAGTGGGTCGACTTTTAAACCAAGAATTTAGTTTCCCGTAAAATCTTCCAAGTTATGTTAAACGGCGGGAGTAACTAAAGGGTAACCTTGGCAGCTCTGGGCTCCCAAGCTAGTTATGAAAATGTATATTCTCAAATAATTAATCAACCCGATCGAAATAATCTAAATTAAAATTTAAAAAACTGGTCTATAGATAATCTGTAGAGACATAATTTTATTTAGCATTCTTAGCATATTCAGAACTATTATAAAAAGCAACCAGCCCCCGAGAACCGCCATCAGCAACAATGTGAAATTAGCAGGCAAAAACGGGCAAAAAAAGCTTAACTTTCATCGCAAAAACGCACAAATTCTTATTAGAAAACGCAGTAAAACATACCTTCATCTTTCTATGCTTCTTCATCTTTTCATTTTGTATTCCAGCCTGAAACAAATTATAAAATTAATTCTTGGCGTCCTGTATGTTTGTTTCTTGTTCTCTACATACAGTGGTTTCCAAAAACATTTATAATCCCTAGCCTTTCAAACTATTGCATGTGTAACCCTTCGATATTTCAAACTTTGACTATTTATAATTTTGGTTCAAAGATATAATTTCATAACAAATTAATGAGACTGTGAGCGTAATTTTAAGTGATTAATGTGGAAGATATTGCATTTATTTTAGGTTAAAAGTGTTATTTTCTGAAATGCGCTATTCACTAGTGTGGAGAAACCACTATTATATAAAATCAGTTTTCAAAATCATAAACATAAACTAGACTTGAATATACTGTAGGTCTTATTCTATTTGACAATTCTAGTTAAAACTGTATAATGATAAATGTTCTGTGTTGAACGCTATATTGTGATAAATTTCTCCAAGTATAGTCTCCAATGAACCGTTTATGCTAGTGAACCAATGAACCAATTATAGTTTTAGGTTGACACTTTTTACCAGGCTGACACGCCCAGATGTCAATACGCATACTAGTAGATACACATATATGTCTACAAGTCTACTAGTCAACACGCATACTAGTAGATACACATACATGTCTACAAGTCTACTGGTCAACACGTATGCTAGTAGATACGCCCTCATATCTACAAGTCTCTAGTCAACATGTTTACTAGCAGATGTCTACAACATGTCTACAAAGTATTAAAGGTTGGTAAGGTGTTTGTTTTAAGAAAGAAAAATGGCTCCGGTTGTTAGGGCTAAGAAAAATTGTCCAGGTTGTAAGGGGCAAAAGAAAAATGCTAAGGTTGTATTGGGTTAAGCACAAAAAATGGTTTGGTTGTTATAGGTTAAGAAGAAAAAATGCTCCGGCTGTTACGGTTAAGAAGATAAGATGCTCAGGTTGTCAGGGTTAAGAAGATAAAATGCTCAGGTTGTTAGGGTTAAGAAGATAAAATGCTCAGGTTGTTAGAGTTAAGAAGATAAAATGTCCAGGTGTTGGTGTTATGAAAGAAAAATGGCTCTGGTTGTTAGGGTTAAGAAGAAAAAATGCGTAAGGTGATAGGGTTAGAAATATTTATGACATGTGGACTTAAGGACATACTGCATTAAGGATGATATTCAGTTTTATTCTACCCCCCCCCCCCCCAAAGAGAAGATTTAGATGTGCAAAATAAACATAGTATTTGTTATTATTATTAGTCCTTATTTAGTCAATAAAAAGAGATGGCTACTCACTAAATAAAAAACTAAATTTTTCAAAGTTTAATAATAAATTTTACATAAAAGTCTTTGAAAAATATCAAAGATATGCATTAAAGGTTCCATCTTGTTAGAAAAGTATAAAACATCGAAAACTATGCTTTCACCTTCTCTTAACTTATTTTATTCAACTCTGACGTAAAATATAAGCTGATACAAATAATCCAATGTACGTCTAAGATCTAAAAAATGAAGTTTACATCAGATGTTTTAAAACCTCCAAAATTAACTTTGAAGTTTGTTAAGGAGAATCCATAACTGAAAAATATGCTGCAAAAAAGCTGAAAAACAGTAGAAAAAAAATTGTTAAAAAAAGCATATTTAAAAGTTGTACTTGTTTGTAACCTTATTCTTGGCCACCCTGTAGAATGCAATGAGAGTGTAAGAGCTAACAAAACACTTTCATTCTTCATGCTTCATTCATTGAGCAAAAACTAATTCCAAGCCTTGGACAAATTTCCAATCATTTGAGAAAATTGTTTCAATTTGTTATAGAATAGCCTCAAGAAAAATGGCAACGGCTGGTTCGGCAAAACTTTTTATTAAACCATAAGTAAAACTATCGATAATTCAAGTAAATGCAAGAAATGTTCTAAGATTTAACGAACATGACGATTAAAGAAAAAAATGTAATAACTAAAAACGTGCAACTGTTTTCTTATTATAATTGAGCATAGAACGGTGTGTGAATTTGAATATTCTGCTTGAAAATTTTACTCAATTTCTGCAAAGAAATACTTGTTTAGGCTTTACATGCAAATTTTCAACAAAATATTAAGTTGACCTTCTGTCTTCGGTTTTTAGGATAGAAAATGTATGAATATTAAATTGTGCTTTCAAGTTTGGTATAACGTATATTGTATGGTTTTTATAACGTGCATGGTATGGTTTTTATAACATGTATTATATGCTTTTTATAACGTGTATTGTATGGTTTTTATAACATGTATTGTATGCTTTTTATAACGTGTATTGTATGCTTTTTATAGCATGTATTGTATGGTTTTTATAACGTGTATTGTATGGTTTTATAACATGTATTATATGCTTTTTATAACGTGTATTTTATGGTTTTTATAACATGTATTGTATGTTTTTTATAACGTGTATTGTATGGTTTGTTATAACGTGTTTGTATGGTTTCTTATAAGGTGTATTGTATGTGTTATCATAACGTGTATTGTATGGTTTGTTATAACGTGTTTTGTATAGTTTGTTATAACGTGTTTTGTATGGTTTGTTATAAGGTGAATTGTCTGGTTTATCATTATTATTATTATTATTATTATTATTATTATTTATCATTATTGTTTGGTTTGATATTAGGTTTATTGTTTGGTTTGTTATTAGCTTTATTGTTTGGTTTGATATTAGGTTTATTGTTTGGTTTGTTATTAGGTTTATTTTTTGGTTTGTTATAAGGTTTATTGTTTGGTTTGTTATTAGGTTTACTGTTTGGTTTGATATTAGGTTTATTGTTTGGTTTGATATTAGGTTTTATTGTTTGGTTTGTTATTATATTTATCGTTTGGTTTGTTATTAGGTTTATCGTTTGCTTTGTTATTATGTTTATTGTTTGGCTTGTTATCAGGTTTTTTATTTGGTATGTTATTAGGTTTATTGTTTGGTTTGTTACTAGATTTATTTATATTGTTTATTGGGTTTAATGCTTGTTAAATGGCTGACTACATGCAGTCAATTAAATAATGTGTTACATTAATTTCTTTTTATCAATTAAATGAAGTTTTTACTTGATTTATTATATTGTTCGTTTAAAGTTGTTTTGTAGAAGTTATATTTATATAAAGTAATTGACGATTTTAAAGTTTAGATCCTATATATTAAGAGTTAAATACCTTATATTTTTTTACTAACATTATAAAATTCATTTAATTAATTTGATAGTTTTACATCAGTGTTGAACAGAACAATTTTGAAAATAGTATTCAGATTCTTACAAATTGGATCATTACATTTATAACTGGATCATACTGGATTAAAAACGTTTTAATCTAGGTTTAACTATGGTTGGTTGCATTGACATCAGAATAAGGAGATGGATTAATTACTTTTAAATGGAAAGTATTAACATTAATAAATCTCAATTTTTAGATAAAAAAAAAAACAATTTTCTAAATCATAATTTCCAAGAGTCCGAATTTAATGAATTTGAGCCCCGTCTCAAATCCGCCAAAAACCGGTTTTAATTGAGCGCCGGCTTAAATCTTGAAACATTGAATACAATTTAAAGTGGAACCAACCATATTTGAGCCGCGTCTCAAATTTAAGCCGAGGGTTAAATTCTTTAAATTGGGCTTAGGTTCACTTTTTATTTGGTGGGAGAATTAAATTGGTCATACATTTGAAAACATAATTTGTTTGGCTTATAGGAGGGGGAGGGGGTACAAGATAAACAGTATATTGGCAGAATCAATGATTGAATATAATTTCCCACTCTTGGATATTAGAGCCAAGAAAAGAGAAATTTTTCCCAAATCCAAGTCTAAATCTCGACATGCATAGTTCGGAGTGCATGAGTAGGTTTTGTTTAAAACTTTGAGATATATTTGACCAATAGAGCGAGGGAGGGGAGGAGGTAGAGGGGGGGAGGGGAGGATCTATCTGTATCTGTATCTATCTACCTCTTCATTCAAGTATACATCTATCTATCTAAATCTATCTTTAAGTTTATCTATCTGTATCTGTATCTATCTACCTCTTCATTCAAGTATACATCTAGGGGTAGAGGGGGGGATACTTTCTCTTCTTAACTCAAGATCAATTTAAAGAGATGTTTTATACAATCATGGTTTCAGCAAGCATAGAATTGATTTTTGAATTTGATTTGAAAAATTTGTTTTCTTTAAATATTATTACCTTTATACAATTTTCACTTGGTTAAAGAAATTTAGATAAATCACTTTTTTATATTTTTTCTTTTAATCACCAAGAATCTTTTTCACAATTTCTAATTTTAAGTTTTCTTCGATTATTTGCTTGATTTCTAGTATATCTAGACTGTATTAGACACTAAGTTTCCTTTCTATACTCCGGCGCGCGGGAGAGAGCTCTACGCGCGGTGTGCACACTGGTCGCTAGCCAACCCAGAACTGCAGGGTGGGAGACCGGACCAAGCCACACTCACACACACTCACCCCTACTCGCTAACTCACTCATGCACTATCTCTCTTACTTATAAGAACACTTAGTTACTCTTACAGTTGTACAGCAGCTTACTCAATCATGCAGATAAATCCAGATTAACCATCATTTTAGAACACACTTTAGCATTACCTTTCTTATATGTACTTTACACTCTCCTAACTTTCTCACTAATAAACGTACTTACATGTAATCTCTCTTACTCATATCGTACGGACTTATTTCTCATTTAAATGTTCAAAATCCCACGCATGATATTTACTACCTTTATATCTTGCAATCCCATACCATACACTCTAAACATTGACATATGTTCACTCACTCAATTGTATCTTCTTTAAAGCTCACTCACTCACTAACTCACTTGTTTAAAGTCACTCACTTTGCACTCATTTTTACACATTTCGTGAGTCATCACTCATTCTTGGACATTAATTTCATCGTAAACTAAAGCAGTTACTTCCTTATAAGCAAAATAAAACAAACGTTTATAAACTTAACCTACTCTCACCCACTCCAGTCCCCTCTCAAAAATAGAGACTTGTCAAAATAATAAACCTAGCTCTCAGGAAATGATCTACTTATCGCCGCTAGCCGGGGAATCCAGCTTTGTCGGGAAATCTAAATTGTCCTTTTTTAAGTAGACCAATTTAACTTAGAATTTGTTAATCAAGCTAAGAATAATTTGTTAATTCCCCAATAAAACTTTAGACGAATCGGTCTAACGGTTCATGAGCTAGTATTGGTCGGACATACAAACAAATAAACAGAGATAATTACATTATAAATATTGATACAAAGCCTAATGTAATACTCAAAATATATCTTTAAACTATCAGAAAATAAATCAGATTAGGAACAAAAAAAGTCGTAGAATGTCATGTATCAGACTACTACCGGAAATGCAAACATAACAACTTTACTAACTTTTATCCTATGTGACCCGTGAATATCAAATTTCACTCAATGTGACTATGAGACCCCTCCCTATCCACTCTTTATATATGAATCCTAGGAGATGTTATGAATTATAGCATCCTAGGAGAAGTTACGAATTATAGCAACCTAGGGTTGTTAATCGTTTTTGAAAACGATTATTAAGCGATCGGTTTTTTCGTTTTAAAAAATGAAAACGTTAACATCCCTAATTATAGCATCCTTGAAGAAGTTACAAATGAAAGCATCCTGGGAGAAATTACGAATGATAACATCATAAGAGAAGTTACGAATGATAGCATCCTGGGAGAAATTACTAATGATAGCATCCTAGGAGAAGTTATACAAATGATAGCATCCTAGGAGATATTACGAATGATAGCATCCTAGGAGATGTTACGAATGATAGCATCCCAGGAGAAGTTACGAATGATAGCATCCTAGGAGATATTACGAATGATAGCATCCTAGGAGAAGTTACGAATGATAGCATCCCAGGAGAAGTTACGAATGATAGCATCCTAGGAGATGTTACGAATGTTAGCATCTTAGGAGAAGTTACAAATGATAGCATCTAAGGAGAAGTTACGAATGTTAGCATCCAAGGAGAAGTTACAAATGATAGCATCTAAGGAGAAGTTACGAATGATAGCATCCTAGGAGAAGTTATGAATGATAGCATCCTAGGAGAAGTTACGAATGATAGCATCCTAGGAGAAGTTATGAATGTTAGCATCCAAGGAAAAGTTACGAATGATAGCATCCTAAGAGTTAAGTTACGAATTATACCATCCAAGGAGATGTTACAAATGATAGCATCCTAAGAGCTAAGTTACGAATTAAACCATCCTATGAGAAGTTACGAATGTATAACAATTACATTTAGAAAGAGCGTGGTGTTGAGAGCACATCATATTTTCATCATAATCCGTAACTTCAAAAACAACCGCACATGAGTACTGAACGATATTGTTCTTGTAATCGTTCAGCTCTCCTTTAATTCAATTATTTGGTAAACATTATTTGAAAAATTTATCGGCCATTGTCGGTAATTTTTTCATGGAGAACTTACTATTTTACATTTAATTTCGCATAATTAGAGAGTAAGAGATATAGACAAAGAAATAGGGAACTGATTACTCGTCACAAACTCTACTTTTCAATCCTCTTAACGTTGCAAGTTACCTGATTTTGTAAAGCTTTGACCATTTGTTCTATGAAGAGCTCAAAGTTTGGAATATCAGAAGTATACAACATCAGGTTGCAAAGATATAATTATTAGGAGATTAGCTTTTGAGACAAGTAATCAGTATCTTTACACCATTACAATATTATCTATTGTCCGTCTTTGACATGATTTTAATTATCAAATTTTCTTAGATAAAAAAGCAGTCAATATTTATTTAATAAGTTTTGACTTAATTTTTATAAGCACCTATAAAACCATTCATGGTATGGAACCCATCAATATTTAATAGGTTAAAGAAACTCTTTTATTAAAAACTAATCATCATTATTTATAAACGTTTAATTATGTAATATTGGATACTTAAATGAAATGTAGGATACTTAGATGAAAAGTAGGATACTTATATATATGTAACCATAACTTTTTCTTTCTCGTTTTTTATCGAAACAATGATCTGAAACTTTAAAGCAAAAGGATGTTTTTTTTTACCCTATTTAGCCTGACATCTGGTTTACTGTCTGTCCTCTGGGGGGTGGGTCTAATTTACCCCTCCCCCCCCCCACCTCACCTTTATTTTATTATTGTGATACAAATCTTTAACATGTGATACATTTTTGGAAAAATCCTTTGGCTCCACTTCAATGATCTGCAAAAAAATGCCAAATTTGCAAAAATCCAATTATTTAATGCGAAATCTAGTTATTAATCAAAAACATTTGCAAAATTTCTTTGCATAAATTATGCAACCTGCTTGCTTTTCTTATAGGCTTTCAAAACAGTATATAATTGGATTTATAAAATGTTGAAATCCAATGACTGGAAGTAGGCCTAAATATAGATTAAGTCTGGTATAGGTAAAATAAGGCATTAAGGCAGTATGCCTGAGGACTCATGCAATAGGTATAAAATCCCAGCTTTTAGCTTTAAGTGAGGGGTATGTGTAAGCTAGAAAAGCCTGAAAATTTAAGCTTCCTAGCTCAAATCCTTTTTGAGTTATCGAAAAAAAACGAATGGGGGGGGGGGCTCAAATTGACTCCCTCCCAGGGCAGACAGGGTTAAACATTTTTCCTGCTTTTTTAGGAAAGTTGCAAAATACTTTGAATTTCTTTCTAAAGGTAGGATAAGGTTAAATTCTTCTCTTTATTATATTTATTATTTTGCTAAGATGATATCTTAAATAGATGTATAGTATCTTAAATAGATGTATAGTATCCAAGTGCTTTTAAAGTTGAAATAAAAAACTACAGGAATTCTTGTAAGATAAATCTGTATACACTTTAAATATAAAATATTTTTACATAACATTTTTCAGTCCGTAGATAAATGGAGAATATAAATATTTTTGTATTGTTCGCTCTAAAGAGAAAACAGCAGGTCACCACTTCTAGATTTAAAGATTATTTCTCTAATCCATTTTTAGATGCCATGATTGTTCCGCATCTTACTTTTGACAATAAGACATTCAAGAATTGCGAAATATAAACTTCTGAAACATGAACTGCAAGAAAATATTTAGACATTAAGTGCTGGAACATGAACTTTAAAATACTAAGTACTAGAACTACTTGAACACGAACTAATTGAACACGAACTTTTTGAACATGAACTACTTTAAATGAACAACTTGAAATTCATGGCGCCTCGTCTCATTTTAGAGGTTTCTTGAGATTAAATTCAGCAAATTCCGGGGCCTTTTCTTTTTGCATATAATTTCAAAACATCAAATCTGGACCAAACACAGATTTAAAATGAATTAGATTTTCATTCGCAGGATTCATTCTTTGCGGTAAACCCTGTATTAAAAATATTGAAGCAAATTATCCCATTAATTAAAAGACAAGTTAGTGCAATGAATCTCAAATCACCACGTAGAAGTCCATTTTAAAGAAAGCGCTGAATAATACCTTAAAATATGTTAAAACTGATTAAAACAATCATTAAAAGTCTCATTTTGAAACTGAAATGCTCATGAAAACATGCATAGGTACAAATGTAGTAAATGCCCTACTCCTAAAACTGCTTCCAGACCCGTATCAATCCAGGTACAACTCTTGATTTTATCAATGCCACACATGAGCAAGATCTCATAGGCTTCAATATAAACATGGACACAAGCTTGCAAACTATCAATGCCAAACCAATGGGCACGATCTCATAGGCTCCAATGTCAACAGGGACACAAGATCAAACTATCAATGCCAAACCAATGGGCACGATCTCATAGGCTTTAATGTCAACAGGGACACAAGCTCCGCGAACTATCAATGCCAAACCAATGGGCACGATCTCATAGACTTCAATGTCAAAAGGAACACAAGCCCCGCGAACTATCAATGCCCCTGAATGGGCACAATCTCAGAAGCTTCAATGTTAACATGGATACAAGCACCCCGAACTATCAATGCCAACCCAATGGGCACAACCACATAGACTTTAATGTCAACAGGGGTACAAGCACCGCGAACTATCAATGCCACCCAAAGGGCACAACCACATAGACTTTAATGTCAACAGGGATACAAGCACCGCAAACTATCAGTGCCAACCCAATGGGCACAATCTCATAGAATTCAATGTCAACAGCGACACAAGCATATAAACTATCAATGCCAAACCAATGGACATGTTCTTAGTATCTTGTTCATTTAATCGAGGAACTAATTACTCTCTCACCATAATCAAAGCGGAGTATTTTCCAACTGTTGTGTATTTACAAATCTATGTTACATGTTAAGTTGATATACATATTTACAGGATTTGTGCAGATATATATCATTGTAGTTAAGCTGATCACAATATTTAGCTA